GCTCATTGCTATAATCCATGCAACAGAAAAAGTCATTGTCTTCACATTCATCTACCTTGAAAGGGTTACAACATATGGAACCGCTGTCAGTTCGATCCTCTTTTATCTCCATTAATCTAGATCCTAATGCATATATGGTCAAATTAGATCAAGAATTGTCACGAACATTTTCGTTTCAGAACACGAGTTGGTTGCCAAGATAATTATGAAATGTTGTCTTAAATATATTCATTTGCCGATTTGTTGAAGAGGGTGGCCGGAAAATGATGGATTACCAGCCAAAACTGTCGCTAGGATCATATGGGAACATATAAAAAATTCAGCAACATGAGAATATCAGAAAGCAACTTGAACTTCTTCTTCTCTCAAATAACTGACCAGGCATCTGCTACCAATCGACAGGTTATAAATGTCATTTTATCAGAACTTCTTCGGCTTCAATGGGTGGGGCAGTGCTCTTCTTCAGTCTCCAGTTTCTGCCGACTATGATCTCGATTGCAGGAAGTAAATCTGATAAAATTACAAGTTATTACCTTTGGAGAGTGTACATTCCTTCTAAGAAATATGCGCTGGATGTTATATCATGTCTGGTAAAACATGCGAACAGCAAATGCAGTAGAAACTAGTGCACCAGAATAAACGATGTGAAGTGCTCTCCGCATAAGAATGGTGATATAACAACCCAAACTGCTGAAATCCAGTTCCTACTACTCATGGCTAGCTTATCAAAACCTCAGAGGCCTAATACCGGGTTCCCATTTTCGTCTTTTAAAACCTGAAATTTGTCTCGCACATTGCTGTCACCACTGTTAGACACGCCATTCTCACCTTCTTGAATTTGGGAAGTCACGGTATCATTGCTGAACTCATTTAGAGCCACTATGTCTTGGGCATACCGTCGAGGTCTTGGTGTCAAATTCTCACGTGAAGTGGTGTCTTTATTTTTCCGCTTCCGATTTGTAGTTAAAAATCCGCTTGCCAGAGCTTCCAATGCTTTTGCTGTTAGAGGTCGGTTTCTCGTGCTGTGCCTATGCAGATTTGGGTTAGGCTGCTCCCCTGAAGTGGAGGGTAGAGGACAATGATCATCTGGCTTGAGTATTCGCTCATCTTCCTCTTTAATTATTTCTGTTGTTAAGACAGCATTCTCTAAGTCTGGGGAAACTTGAGGCAAGTTTAGATCAATCAATGAATGACTTTGAAGGTGCCGTAGATGAGGTTCTGTACATTCAACACTCCCAGTAGGGCTACCTTTCGATGAACCGGTGTATGACAACTTTTCTTGTGATGAACCCGCTTGAGCAGATATATTCTCAGTAAATCCATGACTACCTGAGCACAAACTAATTATTTCATTTTCCTGACTGGGAACCAAAGTTGAATGAGTCACACCGTTGCTTGTCTCATTACCACTACAAGCAGTTAGTTTCCGATGCCGTTTGGTAGAAGGAGCCATATTGTCCACATTTTCCCGTTTCAGTTTTCGGCTCAACCGGGATTTTACCAAATTTCTTGATTGCTTGTCCTGGTGCAAATCCTTTTTGTTCTTCAATTTAGTCACTGAAATATCACTTCCTTGGCATATAGTATCACAATCTTTCCTGCCAGGAAGCATTTCCAGATTGGATTTAGTTGTACCTAGATTGGTATTATTTGTCTCACTGTCATCAACTAACATGGTATCAACAATGTCAGATTCATCGGTAGCCTCATCATGGGTATCCCCGTTTCTATCTTCAGAACGGTTTTGAGAAATTATTGTGTTTGAGATTTCAAATGGTAGGCTCCTCAATTTACAAGGTTTTCCATCCGCAGAACTTGTATCTACAACTGTAAATGTCATTGCATCTGTATTCCATTTAGGGGTGCGAGGTTGAAGATAAAAATGGTGTTGCCTTATAGGCGGCTCATCATCATCTTTCAGTAACTTACTTTCACTGGTCCACTTATACTCTTCTTTGTTCTTGTTCTTTTCATCCTCTTCATTTTCAAGCTCAAGCAACCCAGGTTCTCTGGCAACCTTGCTCAAGACATCAGCTACACAATCAAAATAGTGCTCGCCTTTCACTAATTTCCTTCTTGAAAATTTATTGATGCCCGGCACGAGAAATACCAGAGAATACATGGAAACAGCAGCATAACCCTGATTCTTAGGCTCCTCCGAATGCCAACCTCTTGCCAACAACCGAGGCCAAACAGCTTCCCAGAATAGATCATTTGACCGAGCTTTGCTCAACCGGTAGTCCCCAGTTAGAAAATTCACGATTTCACTGGGTGTAAGAGCCGAGCACGCTTTCCCAGTTGGTATCTCTGGGCGAATTGGGATAACTTGATTGGACCTTGAAATTTCAAAGGCCATTCCCGTGAGATCTTGCTTTCCTTTGCCAATTCCAACAGCTTTTACTAGAATGTTTGTCCCAACCATTGTCTTCAAAGAGAAGACGTAGTCTTCTAGTGACATCTTTCCTTCCCCAAATGTTTTACAGACCTTCCGAGGAATAAAAAAACACAGGTAAGCAAAATTCTAGGGACAACAAAGAAATGCATTTACGCGGGCAAAATCATACTAAATTTGAACTGCCTACACAGCTCAGGCTTTCTATCATTATAAAGCCCAATTCAACTGTTGATCCTCATTTTCCTCTCCATCGAAGTTAAGGAAGAGACATAGAAACCTAAAACACTAATGATTAATCATTCCAACTTGAGACCAGATCTCATAGAGGATTATTATACATTTTCTTTCCATACTACAATAAGAACGTCAGAACTTATGCCTTTCACATCAAGATTTTAAAATGAGAATATATTCACTAGTAAATAAGAGAGATAAAAAACAGTAATGATTTTGGCATATGTTGATTCCCTCCATCCCTTACCCAAAACAAAAATAAATCAAGATTTATTTGCATTATGAGAATAAAATAAATCATTCGGAGATATATCTAGCTTATATCACATATTTCTAGAGATAAAATAAGAACAAAAATATATCGAAGCAACTATATTTTATTATTGTAGCCGTTGCAACTGTTTGCAACTCATCATATTCATTTTCGATTGAAGATCCATAAAATTTGATTTCCTGCCTGCCCGATCGGATTAGCTTTGTTTACAATTTTGAGACATCCCAATAAATTATCCATCATTACAAAACATCTCTAAAATTTTCTTGCCACATTAACCTGTAGATTTAAGATGGTGGAGGAATCCACAAGCTGAGGATAACTACAAAGGGTCAGCCGGTCAGGCACATCTCTTACCTAAAAGTTGATCCTAGTCAGAGTGAGACATAATTATGGATTAAATTTAAAACCGCTAAAAAGCTTTCTCAAGGAATAACAATGACACATTTCTATTGCAAGTATTCGAGAAAAAAATAATTATTTGAAATTCGTATATTAGAATAATTCATAAAAGTACCTCCAACAAAGCATTTTGGCATTCTTCTGACACACTGGGAAGTATACGAGTGAGCAACTCTTGCTGCCTCAGTCCAGAAAATATCTTGTGTCCATGCACAGATCTTCGGCTTTTCATCTTCCGGCATTCTGACCATCTTTGGTATTCACGGGACCTATAGAACTTACCGTAATAAAATGAAAGTACAGTCCCCGTCCCTTTTTCAATGAATCGCGTCAGTTGAACGAAATTTTTTCCAAAAATGTACAAACCCAGCAGGAATGGTTCCTTCTCAATGTCACTCAAACAATCACTAACAAATCCGGGAAGCAAAAGAAATTTTCGACCACTGCTAGTACTCAATTTCTCATCTGATGGTAATTCTTTTGATTCTTCTGCTGGTCCCCCAGTATCTCCTGTATTATGCAAAGGCCCAATGATGATTCCAACATTCTCATCATGGGAAAAAATCTCTGTTGTTTTGATATGTTTAGATTCTGATTGTCCGGAGCCTGGATTGGTTTTTGGTTCACTTGGAAGTTCCAACTTTCCTTGCTTCGGGCATTCACCTTCCTTGCTCACCAATATTAATGGTATGGGTAGCCCGATATAAAATTTGTTGTCCAAATGGGCTTCATTTTGTGCAGATGATACATTCCTTGTGTAAGAAATACAATTGGTCTCTCCTAAAAGGGATGGAATTTGAACTTGATGCTCATCTCCAATTCGAGGAAGCATCTCAGGCTCTCCAAAATCGTCACATGCTTCAGAGGATGACAACGGAAGTAACAAGTCGACAGACATAGCATCAATGCAGTCTCCATTTTGAGTTGATTCAACTGAAGCCATCTCCCAATACATTAATAGACCTACATTGATTTAAAACTAAATTAACACTTAATACATAATATGTTGATGATATATGTTGAATCAACTTTGACTTAACTTTTAAGCAAACCAAGAATACCAATTGATTCAAATTCAGAAAACCTGAATTTCAGATCATCTGTCAAGAGTTGATGCCTGAAGACTACAAATAACCATGCTCTTTTCTTATGAAAATAGAAAGGTGGGTATAAATCAGATGTAACTGGAATTGAGAGTCTATACAACTCAAATAAAAATTGAATGAAAGAATGAAAATTAGAAAGGTAAATATGTTTCATGTTGTTTGGTTGGGCTGCTACAAAATTAACACTATAAACTCAAATAAAGTCTTACCTTACTTTAAATCCCCAAAATGCAATAGATCATATTTATCCATTAACAAATGCAATTCCACTAGTATTGGTGTCCAGAAATTAATTATGCTTCGTCACCTTTCTCTTTAACCAGTCTCTTGCAAGGAACAATTTTTTCGTTTTCTCTTTATTGTGACCTGAGCCAAAAAGACAGAAGTGTAACTGTGTAAGCAATATATGACGATTAAGTCATTCAAGAATAGCCTGTAATTACTTTTGTATACAAGTCCAGAATTAAACATGCTTCTTGTTTCAATGCCACAAATAACAAGAAGCAGATCTCAAACCTGGGGGAAAAAGGAAGGGACAGACTTAAAATCAATAAAAAAAATACTCCAAAAAAGAATTTACAGAATTTTCACCAGATAAAGACCCCTTAAATAAACTTAACAGTATTTTATTTAGTGAATAAATATAATATATTGAGAAAAAAAAATTGATATAAAAAATTGCCGAAATTCATAAAAACTGAACCTGAGAAATTGCATAAACCCGTGAAACTGCAGCCATTAAGACATTTCTTTGAAAAACAATTCGACAAGAATACATATCAACCAAGTTAACATAGTCAATAACTTTTTTTTCCCCCTGAAAAACAGATCCATTATTAAATAAAACCAAATCCGTTTTACAAGATAAAAACTTTAACCCAAGAAAAGGACCTAATCAAGCCACAAATCAAAGCACATTAATGAGAAACCAGGTTAATCAACTCCCACAAAAATTAACACCTTCAAAACTTCATTCTTCACAAGTATCATTTTCAACAAAAAATAAAAATAAAATACAAACATATATCTATATATAAACACACACATACGGAGAGTCTGGAACTCGTATTTATGCATGTATCTACAAAAATTTGTAGCCAAAATTCGAGAAAGAGTTGTGGAGACTTGAGAGGTACGACTTGAGGGAATGGGTCTTACCGGTTAAGATACAAAGCAAACAAAACGTGAAATATGAAGACAAGATTATGCTGTATGCATACATACATCAAACAAGATATATATAAATATTTATTTTTCATAACATGTATGTAAAACAGAGAGAGGAAGAGGATACCTGGGATGTATTCTAGGAGAGCAAACGCTTCATGGGAAGGGTTAAATCGAAGAGAGAGAGAATACGCTCTCGCTTGCTGCTGTAGAGAGAGGAGCATATAACTATTTTGACAAGTTATAGAAAGCGAGAGAAGGGGTAACTTTCCGAGTATTTTTAGAAACATTTGCAGCACTGGTTCCAACTTTATAGTTATATAGCATTTCGGTCTTTTAACTTTTAGATCAGATTATTATTAACCCTCAAGGACCTCAACCTTTCAGATTGTGACTAGTGAGAGCGAAACAAAAGAAATTGTCGACAAGTTGCAATTTGGAAGTTATAATTATAACATTATCATTAGAACACACAAAATAATTAGGAACTAAAAGAAAAAGAAGAAAAA